AAATGTTTATCCAGTGCAATTCTGCCAGCTAAACACTGTTTAAAAATCTAGATAATATTAAAATTGATTACCTGAAATAAACTGTGGACAGTACCCAGTCGTATATGATTTAATTTGTAAATCTAGCATTTGCATATTAAATCAGGTCACCTGTCTCCTCAGAAGTCAGAGATAAGGAGTGATTTACAGAGGTGGTTTTTAAAACCAAAAAAAAAAAAAAGGAATTGGAAAAATTACAGAAACTTGTTTTGAATGTAATTCTATTGGACAAGGCAGGTCACCTGACTAGTTAGATTCTCCCAGACTTTCTTAATCCTATGCCAGACTTCCTTTCCTTCAGGTGTTACCTTTTGTAACCAGAATGTACACTGGGAAAGAGAAACTTGAGGTCAGTGGTTAGCAGGCATCCCCTGTCTTCCTTAGAATGGTCTATTACTCAACCTTAGACTCTAACTCAAGAGAAAAAGGGGCTTAACCTCTGGCTAACCTTTCTCCAGCTGCCAGGAAAGGGAACTTAGCCTCTGGTGAACTTCGTTTTCTGCTATATAGGGGGATTTAGACTTTGGTCAACCTCCCTTTCTGCTAGAAATGGACATTTAACCTTTTGAAAAACCTTATAATCTTATGATTATTTTATTCTTTTAAATTATCTGCTAGTAAATGATAAAGTCTTCTCATTCTATTCAGTAAATCTGCAGGTAACCTAGATTTAAGAGACTTGTGTTAGTCTGGCTTAGCATTAGGGCCAGCTTTTCCTAAAGAAGGGAGCCTATTCCTGTAATGAAACTAAAAATAAATCAAATTCATCAATAATAGCTGACTTTATCAGCAGTTACTAGCTGGGAAAGGACTGCTGTTGTACCACTAGGATTTCTTCCCAAATAACTTCCTGTCTTAACAAACCTGATGGGTAATGCAGGCACACTCTTCTAATAATAGTACAACTTCAAGCTTTAGATACTGAGTTTTTCCAGTATGATATCATTTGTGTAAATGATGAAATGTAAGATTATTTGTGAGAGGAAACTACAGCCTATAAATGTAATCTTCTCTCTGGTGTTGTTAAACTAGAAAAGGAAGGCTGGGGGAAAAAAAAAGCCCCACCAAAACTGAAAGTCTTCATTGACTGAAAAGATTTAGTCATGGCACTTGGATCCATTCATGAATAAATAACTGACTGGAGAATGATGCTGTGCTCATATTTCAAAACTTCCCTTTGTTTAAACTAAGTGCCATCATGGGACTCACATAAAGGTGAAGTCCTTGTGACATTCTTTGTCTAAGTGAAGGAGCAGGTCCCACAGAGGAATGGAAAGAACACTGACCTGGAATCAGAAAACTTAAGAGTAGAAGTCCTAGCTTTGCTTCTTATGAGCTGTGTGATCTGAGACAAATCATAACCACCCCAGGCTTCTGACACTCTTGTGAAACAATGTTATCCAGAACATGCCAGTGGGTGGCTCCTATGTATCACAGAATCACAGGATTGCAGATTTAGAAGGAAGCCTAGTGTGAAGCCTACTCCCACCCATCGCCCATCCCCCAAAGAATTTCCAACAAAAGTTCATTTGATCTTACTGCAGAACCTCCAATGAGAGGAGCCTACTACCAACCAAAGCAAAGCAGTCTGATTTTGGATAAGTCAAATCATGAGGAAGTTGTTTCTAATGTCAAACTTAAGTTGGCCTCTGCATCTTACATCTATTGTTATTGGTGCTTGTGTCTAGGTCTGAAGAGAACAAATCTCATTTCTTTCCCACATGGCAATCTTTCAGAAACCTGAAGATAGTTATCATGAGACTTCTCTTCTCCAAGTATCCCCAATTCCTTCAACTGATCCTCATGGAGAATGAACTCAAGGCCCTTTGTCCTCCCGGTTCCCCTGCGCTGGAGGCTCTCCAGCTTATTAATATTCTCCCTAACATATGGAGCCTTAATATGAAAAGAGTACTCCAGGTGTAACCTGACTAGGAAGAGCACAGTGAGACAACAACCCCCTTATTCCATTGCACACTTCATGAAGCCCGTTAACTATTCTGGTTACAATATGATACTGACATTGCTCAAATCCACTAAAATCCTCAGGTTATTTTTTGCAAGAACTGCTGGTTGTTGTATCTCTATATCTTGTATTTATAAAGTTAATTTTTTTCAAAGCCGAGCATAAGATTTTACATTTATTCTCTGTATATACTCAGTGACCTCATCAATTCCCATGGGACCGGTAATCATCTCTATGCACTCCATTCTTCTTTCCCTCACTGTCGGCATCTCTTTTCCTAGAAAGTTATGGACACATCATTGATCTCAGCAAATCCTTCCAAGTATAGATAAAGGTTGAGATTTACAGGGATAACAATGGTAAACAAGAGGGGACTGTATTTTGCTTGAATACTTGGCAATGCTTCATCCCTTCAGACCACTTGTGTTTCATATCTGGGGTTACTAGTTTGGATTTAAAGGGATGTTCATCGAGTTTTTCAACTATTACAATGGAGGCACAGAGAGCGTAATGGCAAACAACACAGAAAGTACAGAACAAATGGCACAGGAGCGGAGCAATAGTAGAGGCAGATGGTGTGAGGACTGGGAATAGGGTGGTGGAGTAAGGCAGGCAGCATGGAGAATAGAATAAGGACTGGGAGAGGCAAAGACAGTTACTCATTTAACCATGGATTGGAGTTGGGAGCACTCAGGACCGTGGATCTGGATGGAGATGGAAAAGTCCTTGGTGGGAGAAGAGACAGGAATTAGGATCTCAGGGCAGCTAGGTGGCGTAGTAGATAGAGCACTGGCTCTGGAGTCAGGAGGACCCGAGTTCAAATCCAGCCTCAGACACATAACACTTACTGGCTGTGTGACCAAGGGCAAGTCACTTAACTCCAATTGCCTCGCCAAAAAAAAAAAAGGAATTTGGGTTTCATTTTTATAGCGCCTGAGGAGTAGACTCCTATCTATACCACCTTGAGGTTAGTTCATGAACATGTCCATATCATTTCAAAGTTATCAGCATCATTTTGTACTCTATTGGTCTTACTGCAGATGCCTGGAGCATATCTGAGATTTTGATATCATAGGACCAAAAAGTTCTGACAGCAAGGCTTAGATGACTTCCCCTTATTTAGCATATAATCCCAGGATGTGTTTTTAGTTAATATATGATATATTCTGGCAAGTTATAGGCTTTTGATCTATTCAACAACTTGTAAGTGACTTCTAGTTTCCCCTTTGTAATCTTATTTCCTGTGATTGTTATTTTATACTGGCTACTTATAAGCTTACTATACTAAATAAAAGGGAACCAGAACAAGGTACAATTTTAACACATGCTTCCATAGACCACCCTCAAAATGAATGAAATTTTGCAAGTGTTAACATGTTTTTGTTTGTATCAGGAAGCAGTATGCATTATGTATTCAGTGAGTAAGTAAAAACTCTTGGGAGGTTTTCTATCCATATCTTTAAAAATGCAAGCATGATCCTTGCATTACTTCATTAGGCTGTTGTGAGGCTCAAATGAAACAATGAATGTGAAAGCACACTATACATTAAACCATTCTTAATGCTGTAAGAGACAACTTGCCATAGTGGATAGAGAGCTGGTCCTAGAGTCACAGAAAGACCTGGGCTTGAGTTTTCCCTTTTACACATTGCTGGCTGATGACCCTGGGCAAGTCACTTAACAACTTTGTGCCTTCAAGTGACTAAGACTATAAGTTTGCAGAGTGGGTACCTATTGCATTGGTAGAGAGAATTTTCTCTTCCAGGAACTCTCCCTACCATCAAAATCATAAAACCAGTCCTGAGTTTCCATCATTTGTACCCTTAATAGTAGTATGATTTAGTCTCTTGTTTTTAAACGATCTTTCATCAAATCTCAGTATTCAAAGCCTCTCTAGGGATTCTAAAAAAATGTAACTTAAAAGATTTGCAGGAATGTAACTTAAAAGATTTCAATAAAACTGAAAAAGGAGGAGAACTCAAGTAGATGAATTATTGAGGTGCTCTGACAGTCTTTGAGAGCTGCAATGGTCAGTGTGGAATGGTGAGGCCTGGTGGGAGCCCTGAAGTTTATTGAGTAGATTCACTAAGGACACCCGATGAGAGGAATAGACAAGAATCATATAGGCTGTGAAGGTACAGATGTGTTGCAATCTGTACCATTGGAAGGTGATTCCTTGAGGAGATCATGGAGTTATTCTAGTATTGCACAACATGGGCAGACTAGAAGTGGATGATTTGTGCTTTCTCTGTCCCTGATTAAAACTATTTCAGCTATTAATTGCATTGGGGAGAGAGAAACTGGCATTCAAGAACTCCCAAAATTAACATAATAGGTTCCTGTATTGCATCTTTCTAGTTTATTAATGAAAGAACATGTTATATGGATAGAATCCAAAAATAGTGGTAAAGTCAATAGATTTCATTGGCTTTTCTCTCTAGCAGACCTGTCACTCTAATTGCAATAAAACCTGTTAGCTAAATGAAGCCTGTCTTCTATAAAATCATGTAGGGTATAATTACTTCTACTTTATTTTTAAAATATATATTTTTATTTATTTTGTTAAACATTTCCCAATTAAATGGAAATAATTTTTTAAAATTCATCTTAAAAAAATTTGAGTTGCAAATTCTCTCCCACCCACCCCTTAGGAAGGCAAGTTCTATGATATCAATTATACATGTGAAGTCATGTAAAACATATTTCCATATTAGCCATGTTGCAAAAGACAAAAGTTGGGAAGACTTATATGAAGTGATGCAAAGTGAAGTGAGCAGAACCGGGAAAACATAAATAGTAACAGCAATATTGTAAAGATGATCAACTGTGAAAGACTTTGATGTTTCTGAAATTGAGCCCATTTAAACCACTTTTCTCTGGGTGTTCTCTTTACTCTTGCCTGGTTGTCTTTTCTTGTAGTCTATGCATTACCTGTCTCTGCTCCCACACCAAAATGATATAAAATCCCTAAGTGACTAAATTGATCAAAACATCACCATAAAAGATAGAATCATTACTCATCTTATTTGACTGCCATTAATATAAGACACTGAGTATACAAATAAAGCATGTTTAAAAGTCCATAAAATTGTAACTGTGATACTCTAACAATAAAATTTCCTTTAAAAATACAGCACCATGTCTTCTTCAGGAGGCATTTTCCTGTTACAGCTGCCCACATATTTAAATGGAAGAGTAGACATTTGTCTAATATTTACATTTTATAAACAAGAAAGATTTAATTGTTTTGATGCTTCTAAAATTAATAGGAAAAGGGTAACTTAGCAGACTCTAGTAGGTCTCCAGAAATAGAATATTACCTGGTAAAACCACTAATAAACATTTTTGAATTAGGGACTTTTCACAAAACCAGTTAATAGTCAAGAAGAATTTGAATAGTACTACTCAAGAACATGATACTCATACATCAATATTTCAAAAGGTCAGTGATTTTGTCTGTCTCGCTAATGGCAACAATTGCAGAGCTTACACCACCTCCACACTTTAGGTGATGTGCTTCAGGAAGTCCTCTGGTCAAAAGATTCATCATCTGGGGCCAGTGTCTGGCATATAATAGGCATTCAACAAATGCTTACTTAACTGGTTGATGTTAATCACATGTCATAACATACATTTTGTTTACCACTTTCTTAAAAAGCTCACATGCCTAAAAAAGGAAGGAATTTGTCTATAGCATATAATGAAAAATCAACTGACGTTCTTAAACATTTTTCTTTATCAGGGAGCATCAGCTCTGGGGAATTACTTAATAAATTGATATATCTGAACCTGTGTCACAAGACAAAGACTTTGGTGGTTCTTTTTCTTAATTATTTGGCCAAACGATGGATGGATAAGTTTTAAACAGGCAAAGCAGAGATAAATGATCCAGTAAATAGTTGCCACCATGTCAGGTAGGTAGATCAAGAAGGTCTGAGTCCCTCAAATGGCATAACACAAAATGCTAAAAGAAGAGAATGCAGACAATGCAATTTGCCATAACAATATAGCAAGAAATGCCAGAGTTATAAAAATCTAAATTATAGTTCCAGGTATTAACTGTGCTCAAAGGTGGCAACTTTTATAACATGCCACATTTCAAAATTATTTATATCATGACTTCCTTATTAACTAAGATACATAAAGGAGAGCCAAGTGGTCAAGGGGTTTTCCAGGTTGAATGAATATTATCTTTTGGTGCATTTCTAGAACAGGAAGTTGCTCTTGCTACATGAGTGAGAGGCAGCATCTAGGGGGAGCAGACTCTTCCATAGAAGAGAATACTATTAGTTTTATTGTGCTTAATGAAAAATAGGAATGGGTGATCCACATTGAATGTCATAGAAGGGAATTTCATACGCCATGAAAACTCATCTGCAGTGCTCGCTGCTGCCTCAGTACCTTCCTCATTGACTTCTACAAAAGATTTATGGAAAACTTCTGACAAGAATAGATTTTTTCTCTCAGTCATGCCTGAAAAGTCAGCATGGTTTGTGCTGAAAGCATCACTCATCCCCATGCTGCTCAAGGTCGATTTGAGGTCATAGCTCTCCTCTAGCTTGAATCTGGGGAGGTACAGCTGCACATCATACATCTCCATCATGTCTTCATGAGTCCAATCACTCAACTTCCCGTAAGTGATTGTATTTTCCAGCTAGAGTTATGGGACAAAAGGAAAAGAAAAAAATATTTGTTCAGTGATATTAAAAAGAGAAATGACTAAGAGGACAGTTCCAGAGAAGACTTGTATGGACTGATGCAAAGAGAAAGGAGCAAAACCAGAAGAGCAATTTATACTATAACAATAATACTGTAAAAATTAACAACTTGGAAAGACTTTAGAGCTCTGATAGACACATTGCTTTACTATGATTCCAGAGGACTGACGATAAAGGATGATATTTACCCCCTAACAGAGAAGTCGTGGTCTTAATACATAAAATGAGATACACTTTTAAATGTGGCCAATACAGAATTGTATTTTTTGGAGGTCAGACAATGAGGTTAAGTGACTTGCCCAGTGTCACACAGCTAGTAAGTGTCAAGTGGCTGAAGCAAGATTTAAACTCAGGTCCTCTTGACTCTAAGGCTGGTGCTCTATTCATCGCACCACCTAGCTGCCCCTAGAATTGTATTTTTTCGTGATTATGCATATTTGTTACAAAGTTTTTGTTTTTCTTTTTTTTGGGGAGAGGAATTAGAAATAGAAGAAGGAGGGAGAGAAAAATAGTAAATATTTGTCAATTTTAGGAAAAGAAATGAACATATTCAATTTGTGAACTATCATAATCTTAGTAGCACAGAGATAGCAGTATATAATTATTTAGAAATTCCAAAATTGGTGAAAACAGAATAAATAGGGAATTTAAGTGAGCAAAACATTTGCATAAATATCATTGGTAAAAATGTAATATTCAAGATATTGTGAGAATTGACATAAATATATAATACTTAACACCATTCCCCAATAGCTGAGTATGAACAATTTCCAATTGAAAATAGAGTGATTATTTGAAAACAATCACTGACAGAGAATTCAAATTACAACAGTTCTGAGGTTTCACCTCCCACCATGGAAATTGACAAAGATAAGAAATGAGAACAGCTAATGGAAAGACTGTGGGAAGACACATATCCTGAGACTGTGGGAAGACCCATATCCTGATTCAATGTTGCTAGAACTCAACACTGGTTCAACAGTTCTGGAGATGGATTTGGAATTGTGCAAGAAAAATGACTCTATTGTTCTTTCTTTTTGACCCAGTGACTCTTTTACTGTGTATATACCTCAACAAGGTAAAAAAGAGAAACAAACTCCCCAAATGGATCAAAATAGCCATAGTAGCAGTCTTTGTGATAGCAAAAAAGGGGAAACAAAATCGATTTGCATCAATAGGGGAATGTCTGAAAAACTTTGGTCTGTGAACATAAAGTAACATTTTTGCAAAGACAAAATGAAGAATTCAGAGAAACACAGAGAAACAAATCAAACAGAGGCAGATTGAAATACGCAAAACCAAAAGAACAATATGCAAGACTCCATCTGTATAAATTTAAAAAAAAAACATTCAAATGGAGCTCAACTAAGAGTAATTGAAAAACCAGTGAAGATCCAGGGAACATATAATGAAACATAGCTTCCTCCCACTGATACTAAATACCTTCCTCATGGCAGAGAAGCCCAGGTACATACAGAGTATTAGGACATAATAGTGCACATAGAATGTCTGTTTTAGTCCTTAGAAGGAGTGTTTGAGCTTAACTGTATATCTCTGTTATAAAGAAGAATTCAATCGAGGGGCTGGGGAGGAATTCTTTCCTCAGAAATTACTGTGTTGTAAAAAAAAATTACTATGCGGTAGGCATGAACAGAACATGGCTCTATTTTTTTTTTTAATATTCGTTTTTCTTTTTGAATACCAAGATAAATTTTTTCTTTGCTTGTTTGGACAACAATACGATAATACTGGATCATAAAGTCGAGTCTAAAATACACTTTTAGATCCTCTGATTCTACCTGCCTTTGGAATTAGTCTTGTATTATGAATGACATTGAATATTTAGCCTCAGAATTTGCCTGATGATGAATTGTGAAAGACAGGTGGGCAAAGTGTTTCGTGGCTCTTCATCTTCTGTAGTGATGTTTAGACATAATTTACATACCTACACACACCACTCAGCTGCATGAACTTGGCAAACTCCCTTGGTCTATTTCTTCCCTTGTAAAATGAGTGGGACAGGTCCCTTCCAACATTAATATTCTATGAGTTTGTGTAAATATATGCTTAAGCAATGTCTATGCAATAATAGTAGCTATTCCTATTCAAGATATTATAAGAATTGATGTGTATATGTAATACTTGGCACCGTTCCCCAGTAGCTAAGTGGATGGCAGGTAACAATTTCCAAAATTGTTCTATTTGAAAACAATCAGTGATGGACAATTCATATTAAAACAGGGAGACAAGCAATGAAGGAATGCATAAGGAATGGCCATTAGTTCCTTTTTATGAGAACCAGTTCCACCCTGTGGAATAGCATTTTTATCTTAAGTTTCATTTTAAAACTGATAATGTCCAGGACTGAGATCCACCCTAGTCAGAGCACATGTAGAGATCACATTGAATTCTGGTTGCCACATTGATAAAATGGAGAGTATCTATAGAAAGATGAGCATTTATAGAGTATTTCAATAGAAAGATATCTATGATATGGTGAAAGGCCTCAAAATAATAGCAAATGAGAATCCATTGAGGGAAATGGGAATTCTAGACTAGAGAAGAGAAAACTTAAAAAGGACAGGATATCTGAATGGTTGTCATATGGAAGGTTGGGACTGGATTTGTTCTATTTGGTTCCAGAGGGCAGAACTAGGAATATAGGACAGATGTAGCAGTGACCAGTATAAAATTGATGCAAAGAAAAAGCACTTAACAATTAGATCTACTTCAAAGTGGAATGAGTTGCCCTATAAGGTAATGGTTTCTCTCTCATGAGAAGTCTTCACCAACTGCATGTGAAGAGCCTTCTTTGTCAGGCGTGCGTCAGCCTCTGTGGTCCCTTCTAGCTCTGATGTTCTGTGATTAACTTCTGCCATGTAGAATGCAGTTTCCAGAAGAAAGCAAATTGTGATTAGATAAAAACAAAAATTCAGAATCAGATGCCTGCGTCTCTAGGAATACCCTTTTCCCATCCCACTAGGCAAGGATAATGAAGGTATAGGTTTTAAGGTAGGGCAGGAACTCCCACTCCTCTGTAGTTAGATGAATTTCTATTCAGTCTTAAGATCAGTGCTAGCTTCCTATAGACACAATCCTTTTTCAGCCTCACAGTAGAGATTTAAAACCTTTAATACCTCTGTTACATACAAATAGGATCTACTAATGTGTATAGTATGTGTGTACTAACCTATGTGGACAATAAGCAGAAATAAGCATTCTACATACCTACTTCTTGGTAAATTCATACATTGTCCTAGTATGAAAATGTATTTCTCATTCTACATATATTTTCAGATTGGGACAATGTGTGAATTTGCTTTTCTCTATTTTGTTTACTTTTACAAGACAGTTTTTAATTTAGAAGGGGAAGGTAGAGGGGTGAAGCCAAGATGACAGAGTAAAGGCAGAGACTCACTTGAGCTTTCCCAAATCCTCCTCTAAGCAACTTTGAAATAACACCTCAAATTGAATTCTGTAGCAGCAGAACCAACAAAAGTTCAGAGCGAAACAATTTTCTAACCCAAGACAACCTAGGAGGTGAGCAGAAAAGGTCAGTCTCAATGGGATGGTGGTCAGACCTAGAGCCAAGTACATACCCACAGCACAACAGTGCCAGAGTGCCAGCATCAGGCCTTGGAGGTGGTTCATTAGTGGCAGCAGCAGCTTCAAGAACTCTCAACCCACAGGTGGTAAGAGGGTCGGACAACTGGTCAGAAGGAGATTGCAAAGGACACTTTGTTGACACTGGGTGCAGGACTCTGCCACATTGCCCATAAACAGTTTTGAGTCACAGTTGCAGAGCTAAGAGGAACACTAACTCACTAGCTGTAGGGATATGGTCCCTGTTCACTGTTCCAAGGCAGAGATGAGTTTTTGTAATCACTCACAAACCAGAGTATAGACTAGATGATCAGTGACCACACCTCTTCTTAGATCATACCCCCTTGGAAGAACTGAAAACCTACAGACCCCCAGAGCTAGCTCTGAGAACAGAAGCAAATAAAGGCCTAAAGAAAAGCCCCAAGGTCTTGGAATAATTCTTCCTTCACCATGTTAATAGAACCTTTAATATATATAATATAATAGAAACTTTAATATGTGTCAAGAAATAGGTTAGGAAAATGAACAAACCACAAAAAAAGAATCTGACCATAGAAAGTTACTATGGTAACAGGGAAGATTAAGTCATAAACTCAGAAGACAACAAAGTCAAAACAGTTATATGCAAAGTATCAAAGAAAAATGTGAATTACTCATAGGCCTAAAAAGAATTCCTGGAAGAGCTCAAGAAGGATTTTATAATTAAAAAAAAAGAGAAGTAGAAGAAAAATTGGGAAAAGAAATGAGAATGATGCAAGAAAATCATGAAAAGAGAGTCGACAGCTTGGTAAAAGAGGCACAAAGATAGAAGAAAATAACACCTTAAAAACCAGAATTGGCCATGGTAAATGCTAAATGCTAAATGGTAAAAGAGACACAAAAATGTACTGAAGAGAAGAACTCCTTAAAAAGCAGAATTAGCAAGGCACAAAAATTCATTGAAGAAAATATTCCTTAAAAAGTAGGATTGGCCAAATGGAAAAAGAGGTACTTACTGAATTTAAAATTAGAATTGGGCAAGGGGAAGCTAATGACTCCGTAGACATCAAGAAACAATAAAAACAAAGTAAAAATAAATGAAAAATATGGAAGAAAATGTGAATAGTCTTCTTGGAAAAACAACTAACCTGGAAAACAGATCAAGGAGAGATAATTTAAGAATTATTGAACTGACGAAAAGTGATGATTAATGAAAGATCCTAGACATCATATTTTAAGAAATTATCAAAGAAAACTGCCCTGATGTCCTAGAGTGAGATGGTAAAATCAAAATTAAAGCATCCACTGATTACCTCCTAAGAGAGATCCCAAATTAAAACTCCTGGGAATATTATAGCCAAATTCCAAAGCTCTCAGGTCAAGGAGAAAATATTGCAAGCAGCCAGAAAAAAAAAAAAACAAAACTCAAATATCATGGAACTACAGCTAGAATAATACAATATTTAGAAGCTTCTACATTAAAGGATTGGGGGTTTGGAATGTGATATTTCAGAGGGCATAGGACTTAGAATTATAACCAAGAATAACCTAACCAGCAAAACTGAGCATAATCCTTCAGGAGAAAAAACGGATATTCAATGAAATAGAGGATTTTCAAGCATTCGTGATAAAAAGCCCAGAGCTGAATAGAAAATTTAACTTTCAAATTCAAGACTCAAGAGAAGCCTCAAAAAGGTAAACATGAACAAGAAATCATAAGTGATTCAATCAGGTTAAACTATTTCCATTCCTATATGGTAAGATGATACACGTAACTCCTAAGAACTTTATTCTTATTAGGATAGTAAGAAGGAGTATACATAAACAGAGGGCACAAGTGTGAGTTGACTGTAGTGGAATGATAAAAAAAATAAAATTAAGAGGTGAAAAAGAAGGATGAACTGAGATAGGAGAAGGAAGAATGGGTTAAATTATCTCACATAGAGGAGATATTTTTACTGTGGAGGGGAAGATGTGGAGGGAGCAATGTTTGAACCTTACTTTCATTCTAATTGGTTCAAAGAAGGTTTAACAAACACACTCAGTTGGGTATAGAAATCTGTCTTACCCTATAGGAAAGTAAGAGGAAAGGGCAACAAGAGAAGGGGGAGAGGGGCTGATAGAAGTGGATTGAGGGAAGCAGTAGTCAGAAGCCTAACAGACTTTTGCAGAAGAATAGGGTAAGAGGAGAGAGGGAGAGAGAGAACACATGGGTGAGGGGGTAAGGGAAATGGAGGGCAATATATAGTTAATAATCATAACTGAGTGTGCATAGGATGAACTCACACATAGAACAGAAACATATAAAAGAGTGGATTAAAAACCAGAATCTAACAATATATTGTTTACAAGAAACACACTTGAAACAAAGACACACACAGAGTAAAAATAAAGGACTAGAGCAGAATCCATTATGCTTCATTTGATGTAAAAAAAAAGCAGGGGTAGCAATCACGATCTCAGACAAAGGAAAAGCAAAAGTATATCTCATTAAACAGGACAATGAAGAAAACTATATCTTTCTAAAAGGCACCATAGACAATGAAGTAATATCAGTACTAAAGACATATGCACCAAATGGTATAGCATCCAAATTTTTAAAGGAAAGATTAAATGAGTTTCAGGAGGAAATACACAGTGAAACTATACTAGTGGGGGACCTCAACTTTCCCTCAGAACTTGATAAATCTAACAAAAAAATACACCAAGAAGTTAAAGAGATAAATAGAATTTTAGAAAAGTTAGATATGATTTACCTCAGGAGAAAATTGGGAATAGAAAAGAGTATACCTTTTTCTCTACTGTACATGGCACCTTCACAAATATTGACCATCTATTAGGGCATGAAAACCTCACAACCAAATGGAGAAAAGCAGAAATATTAAATGCATCCTTTTCAAATCATAAGGCCATAAAAATTACATTCAATAAAAGGCCATGGGAATATAGATTAAAAATTAATTGGAAACTAAACAATCTAATCCTAAAGAATGAGTGTGTCAAAGAACAAATCCTAGAAACAATCGATAATTTCATTAAAGAGAATGACGACAATGAGACAATATACCAAAATTTGTGGGATGCAACCAAAGCAGTACTTAGGGGAAATTTATATCTCTAAACATTTACATCAATAAAACAGAGAAAGTGCAGATCAATGAGTTGGACAGGCAACTAAAAAAAAAACTAGAAAAAGAATGAATTAAAAATCCTTAATAAAATATCACTGGAAATCCTGAAAATCAAATCAGAGATTAATAAAAATGAAAATAAGATAACTAATAAAACTAATTGAACTAATAAAAAAAACTAGGAGATTGTTTATGAAAAAAGCAATAAAATAGATAAATTATTGGATAATTTGACGAAACAAAGAGGAAGAGGAAAACCAAATTGCCAGTATCAAAAATGAAAAGGATGAATGAACCACCAATCAAGATGAAATTAAAGTTATTATTGGGAGCTATTTTGCCCAATTATATGCTGATAAATTGACAATCTAAGTGAAATAAATAAACATTTACAAACATATAAATTGGCCAGATTAAAAGAAGAGGAAGTACAATACTTAAATAACCATATCTTAGAAAAATAAATCGAACAAGCCATAAATAAACTAAGAAAAAAATCACCAGGACCAGATAAATTCACAAGTAAATTCTACCAAACATTTAAAGAACAATTATTTCCAATCCTGCTAAATTCCTTGTATGACACAAATATGGTGCTGATACCTAAATCAGAAAGAACAAAAACAGAGAAATAAGACTACAGACCAATTTCCCTAGTGAATATTGATCCTAAAATTTTTAAATAAAACACTAGCAAAAAGATTACAGCAATATATCACAAAGATCATAAACTATGATCATGGGGGATTGATTTACACCAGGAATGCGAGGCTGATTCAATATTAGGAAAAGTATCAGCATAATTGACCATGTCAATAATAAAAACAACAAAAATGATATAAATATTAATATAATTAATATAAATGCAGAAGCTTTTGACAAACTACAACACTCATTCCTATTTTTAAAAAAATTGGAAAGCATAGGAATAAATGGAGCTTTTCTTAAAAAGATAAGTAGTATCTATCTAAATACATCAGTAAGCATTATCTATAATGGGGATAAGCTAGAAATCTTCCCAATAAGATCAGGGGTGAAGCAAGGATGCCCATTATCACCACTATTATTCAATGTTGTGCTGGAAATACTAGCTATAGTAACAAAACAAGAAAAAGAAATTGGAAGAATAAAAGTAGGCAATGAGGAAACAAAACTATCACTTTGCAAATAATATGATGGTATACTTAAAGAACAATAAGAATCAACTAAAAACTAGTTAAAATAACTTCAGCAGATTTGCAGAATATAAAATAAACCTACATAAACCTCAGCATTTCTATATATTACCAACAAAGTCCAGCAGGAAGAGATTAAAAATAGAAATTCAATTTAAAAATAACTAGAAAATATAAAATACTTGGGTTTATACCTGCCAAGACAAACCCAAGAACTATATGAGCACAATTACAAAACACTTTTCACATACAAATAAAGCCAAATCTAAATAATTGGGAAAATATTAATTGCCCAATGGTAGACCAAGCTGGTAAGCTGAAAAGATACACACACACACACACACACACACACATACAATGACAGTTCTACCTAAATTCTGAAGGACTTATGATGAAAAATGCTATCCACCTCTAGAGAAAGAAGTGATGGAATCTGAATGTAGGTCAAAGCATACTTTAATTTTTTTCTTTATTTTTCTTGGGTTTCTTTTTGTCTTTGTTTTCTTTCACAAATCGCTAATATAGAAATAGGTTTTGCATGACTGTACATATATAATCTATGTCAAATTGCTTGCCTTCTCAAGGCAGGGTGAAAGGAGGAAGGGAAAGAATTCAGAACTCAAAACTAAAAAAACAAATGTTAAAAACTGTTTTTACATGTAATTGGGAAAAAATATAATATAAAAATAAAAAAGGGTTAGGTGGATGGTGATAGTAATGAAAAGAAAAATGTATCAATGAAATATTTAAAATATAAAGAAAAAACAGAAGAAAGTTCAGAAAAAACAGACAAGAATGTAGTTTTGGCTCTGTTGGTTTAAATTTATATATACCTTAAAAAAGCAAATACATAATTTTAGTTCACAGTTCATGTGAAAAAGAAATTAGACAGCAACTCAAAGGAACAGTGATCATTTTGGTAGACTATTTGGTGCCTCAGTTTCCTCATGTGTAAAGTGGAGATAATAATAGCACCTACCTCATAGAAATGTTGTGAGTATTGAATGAGAAAATGTTGTAAAGCACTTTGTAAACCATAAAGTTTAACTTTGCTGCAGTTTTAAACTATTAGGGCTGGAGGTATTTAAGCTCTAATAGCTTAAAATTTCACTAAAATTTTGGAGATTTCTTATGTGAATACAAACTATTAAATTTTGCTCGGTATCCTGGATATTTAATTTGACCATGTAAATCAGACTTGCACAATTCGTTAACTTCTTCTACGCAGATAGGTTGGACTAGAGACAGACTGATGACGGTTGGTCGCCGCAAGTCACATGATAAACAGGAGAGTGTTCAATGCATAGCCCTACATTTTCTCCAGGCCGCCTGAAATCCTTTGGCTGGCTCAATGTTATGCAGGTCTGATGTAAATGATCCTGAGCCTATTTCCAGAGTGTCAAAGAAGTTAGGTCCTAGATAACATCAAGTGTTAGAGATGGCTGGGAACTCAAATGTTATTTTGTCCATTTTCATTTTTTTGGTAAGGAAACAGTATGACACTGAAGACAGTACTAGTTGCATTCTACTTCTTTATGAAACATAAGCAATTTGTGGAAAAGCTGTTAAAAGTTTTCATGATCAGCTGGAGTTTTTTTTGAAAATCAATTTTTGAGGCTAATTTAATGCATATATACATATGTAGATATAGAAATCAACAGACGGATGGATAGATGGATAGACATAGATATGAACTGCTTAGCTCTTCCTCAGTTTGGATCTACATGAGACATTGAAGAATTGAACTTTGAACTGACAAAGTTGAGTGGGGTCTCTATGAATGGCATTAAGGACCAAATCTCTACTGCTTATGCTAACTCCTTCCCGAGTCACAAGGCAACTTGGAGTCTGCTGTCATTATGCGCATGGATCCAGCCTCAATGTTTATCATGCCGTTCCAGAGACACTACTCAATAATGAAGTTGGAATCTCTGACTGGTTGAATGAATAACCAGAGATGTCATAGTTTTCATACTACTTCTGCTCAGATGAAATATTGAATTTTCTTTATTGTGTCATTGTGAATAATACAGGACTTTACCTCTTTCAGGCCGTCGACATCATCTGGTAGCAGTACAAACATGCTCACTTCACCGTTGCCATAATAAAGCTGAATGCCTTTGGCTTCTGGTTTTTCTATGTGAAATATGTGAAGATTGCTTTTCATCGACATCATTTTCACTGGCTTTGTTGTTGTCTATTAAAAAGACACAGACAAAATTTTTACTTTTATTGAAAAGAGATGCTAAGATCATTGAAATGGTTTTTCCCAAATTCTTAAACCCTTTATCACTTTTGCTTCCTAATTGGAAGCACATGGCACTGTGCTGCCTGCTGCACAGAAGTGAATTAGACATAACTTTTTCTTGGAGCTGATGCTCTGAAAGGGGATAAGCATAGAAAAGAAATGTGGAAATGCCAGTCTCTCTATGACAGCCTCAACAAGGCACTATGATCTAGATTCCTGAAAACATTTACAAGATCAAGAGCACTTAGTCCTGAAAACAAACTATAAATTTTTGTTGTTCAGTCAATCAATCATGTCTGACTCCTCATGACCCCATTTGGAGTTTTCTTGGCAAAGAGAGTGGAATGATTTGCCATTTCCTTCTCCAGCTCATTTTACAGATGAGGAAACTGAGGCAAATAGGGTTAAGTGACTTGCCCAGAGTCACTCGGCTAGTAAGTATCGGAGGCTGAATTTGAACTCAGAAAGATGAGAATTTCTGACTCCAAGCCTGGGGCTCTATCCACGGTGCCACCTAGTTGCCCCTACAATGAACAGAATGAAGTAATTTCTATCTTGTAGAGAAGCAAGTACATTCCTTGAGAGATACTGATACCTCTCAGTAGGACATGTTCTAAGATTGTAAGTGACAGAGCAGATTCCAACCTGCAAAGTTCGAGGGAATTTTCTTATCCAGGAGTCCTCTATATCTGTGAAATTATTGGTTCATTCCTTATCCTTATTAGTGCAAACAGTTTTAATATTCATGAATATTGCAAGTTAAAATAAGTGGGAGGCAGCTACTTATTTGTAATTAACCAGAGAAAGCTTCACAAACATAGGGGATTTCCAGCACCCTTTGCCTGATGGAAAGAAAGGAACTCCAAAGCTTCAGTAAAAGGAAGTGTTGCAGAGAGTCATGCCTATGGGGAAAAAGCATAGGACTGGACTTGGATAGATTTAGGAAGATCTGAGTTCAACTTCTCCTCAGACACCTATTATCTAGTCACAACCTCTCTACCTTAGTTTCCTCTTCTGTAAAATGAGGATAATAAAGCACCAACCTCACAAAATTATTGTGAGCATGAAATAAGATAATACATGTAAAGCACTTTGCAAACAAAGTGCTATTTCAATGCTAGTTATTATTATGAAACTTGGCATAAACTGAGAAAAGAACTAAAGGTTTTTTTTTAAATTTCAAACACATTTTGAATAATGTTTTAAAATTTTCATTGCATGCTCATGGTATCAATTTCAAAGTCAGAATTCTTTTATTAAACAAATCAAGTGAAGTCTCCATTTCAGCAAGAGTGTTTGGCATTTCACACTTAACTGTTTATTTGTGCCACAATTGCTTTTGAAGGAAATTACAAATTTGGTTGAAATGTTGCATGTTAAATATAATATGTAAATAAATTAAAATAGTATGGCAAAATATAGTATATTTTCTTCTTTCTACAAATTCTATATATTTCTCCAATTTTTGCCCTTTTGAACCAAGCAGAACAAGTCTAACCAGTCCTCAGTATAACTCTCCAAATACTAGAAGACAGCTACAGGCTAAATGTCCCTGGTACTTTTATTCGCTCCTCATATGACCTAATCTTCAGATCCTTCACTTTCTTGTTGACTTTTTCTATATAGTCCTCAACTTAACAATGACCCTCTTAAAATGTATTACCATGAACAAGACATAATTCTACAGATGTGGTCTGACCACAGAGTATGGTAGGGTTCTTGCCTTCTTAGTCCTGGATACTATTCCTCTCAATGCAACCTAAGACTATATTAGATTTTTCACTATGCTACCACACTGTTAACTTATAGTAAGCTTGAAGTCTACCAAAATCTTTTTCAGATAATCTGTTCTCTAGTCATGTCAGAGTTTGATCTATGTGACCTTGGCAAGACCTCATGACATAGCCGATTGAGCGTTGGATTTGGAGTCAGAGGGACCTCTGATAAGTCACTCCACTTCATTGTGAGTAACTTCTATAAAATGAAGAAGTTGGACTGGATGATCCCTTAAGAGCCAGCCCCATTAGATTGCAAGCTCATTGACGGCAGGGATTCTGTTTTGCCTCTTTTTGTATCCGCAATACTTAGCGTAGTACCTGGCACATAGGAGGTGCTTAACAAATGTTTATTGATGGATTGATTGATTGGTTAACAGGTAGGAAGCTCAGTAGGTAGAAAGGTGGACCTGGAATCAGTAAGACCTGAATTCAAAAATCTAGCCTCAGACACTTATTAGCTATGTGATCCTGGGCAAGTCATTTAACCATTGTCTGCCTCAGTTTCATCAACTTTATAGAGGCAATAATAATAGGACCTACCTGCCTGAGTTCTCCTGAGGATCAAATGAGGTATTTGTCAAGTATTTAGCACTGTGCCTGGCACATAATAGGTACTTAGTAAATGCTTGTTTCTTATCTTCTTTTTCCCTCCTTCCTTTCTTCCTTCCTTCCTACCTACCTGCTCTAAATACTATGAAACCACACTATTCATATCCCTGAGCCTATTTCTTCATCTGCAAAATGAAGGGATTAGAATAGATATAGCTCTAGTTCTTCCCTAATTCCTGATTCTAAAGGAAGTGAGGAAATATACATTTGTTTAGGTAAATACTTTATTAAAAATATGTATAATACATTTATTATATAACATGGACTTTATATAGTTATGTGAATATTTCTCATTTCTTTTATAAGATACGTATAATGTGTATATATACACATGTGTGTGTATTTTTATGTATATATGTGTATATATGTTAATGTATTTTTGTTTGTTTGTTTTTTTGGCAGGGCAATTGGGGTTAAGTGACTTGCCCAGGCTCACACAGCTAGTGAGTATCATGTGTCTGAGGCTGGATTTGATCTCAGGTCCTCCTGACTCCAGGGCCGGTGCTTTGTCCACTGTGACTCCTAGCTGCCCGTTTATATATATATTTCTATGTATTTATAGATGTAGATGTATATATGTATTTTCTATATATGTATATGTACACATATATTTCTATATATATATATATACACATATATATTTCTATATATGTATATTTCTATGTACACACACACACACACACACACACATATACACAATATACACATTCTCACTGAGTGCTTCTCCCCACCCTGCCCTCTGTACCAGGCTAGCTCTTGTCTTCTCTTAAAGGAATCTGTGATCTCATTCATTTGGAAATACCCTGTTTTCAATCTCCTATCCCTAGGTACCATACCATGCTGGGATGGGCCAGGTGTTCCTAGTGTACTTGATGGAGGCATAGTTCTGGAGATCAGTCTGTCTCTGTCCTTGGACTGCCAAGGCTGGTGTTGGTCTGGAGGAGGGTGTGGTCAGGGTTGTGGCATAAGGAAGTTCTATACTTCACAGGATCATTGGATGCTGGTGTGGAAAATGTCTAATCCCATGCCTCTGCTCGGTGAGGAACATAGGTAGGAAGTGTGGAAAGGGTTCCAATCTAGAATCACATTCACCATGCCCTATAGGGATTGCTATTGATCATTAACACTCAAATTGAGGTACCCACCTGGTTTACTCTGAAAGGTTTTTCTATTGTATCTTTAGGCTTGAATTGCTCTTTCCATTTTCCTTTAAAATAGATGGCATTCACTAGAACCAATCTGGTCATGGAATCAATAGAATCATCTGGTAGAAGCTTCACAATTTTGCCTGAAAGAGCAGAAAGTTGATTTTTTTACTGCAATACATTCACAGACCTATCTGCATTTACAGTAATCAAGGCTTTTTTTTTCTTTTTGGCTAGGATTATCCTGCTTTTTTGCCTTACAGTCCTTAAAGAAATTCCAGAGAAAAATTCTTGAAAAAAGTCATAGATGCAGATCTTGGCTCTCATTGTAAATAGTAAAATGTTTTGTTTTCTGTGGAATACAAAGTGAACAGGATGGTGGAAAACAGAGGTGACTTGATTAGTTTTTTTTTTAAGTGTGGTTTCTTGTCTTCATTTTTGTTGTTTTCCTTTTAAAAAATACTACATTCGTTTTACACTTAAGCAGTCTGCCTTATCTAAAGGGGTAGGTAGAAGGTAGAAGGTGAAAGAGGGAGGAGAATGGACTCTGACTCCTGGAGTATTTGGGGAGCAGTTGGGAGGGTATCATAGCTCATGCAGAGGGCCCAGGGCTGATTTTGTAGGGGTTGCTGATATGGGGCTTCCTCATGGCCCCCTGAGCCAGATAACAGGTGATCATACCGTGAGCAATCTGGGAAGTTCCCGTGTGTTCTGGGGATTCTAATATAGCTATCATGAATGGATGACTCAACTTCCCAAAGAAGAAGCTTGCCAACCAATGACCTCCCATCCCCCAGAAGCTCCTCTCAGGCAGTGAATTTCCATGGATGACCTTGACTTGGGGAAAGTGATGCTAGGCCACAGAGCCTAAATGCACATGAAATCACGGAAGGATTCTCCAAGGCAGCAGAAAATGAGAGAGTTCTTTGTGTTTTGCAACAGTCCAACATGAGGAGAGAAGTCACATGTGTCTTCCCACTGCAGCTTTTCCTTTACTCAGCTATCAAAGTGATCTTCCTTAAGTCTAAGTTTCATCATTTCACCTCCCTACTCAATAAACTCTGGCGGTTCCCTATCACCTCCAGGATCCAATATAAAATCCTATTTTCATGATTCAAAGGTCTTAATAACCTAGCCCTCTCCTGACATTTCTAACTTTCTTATACCTGACATTCCCCTCCCTCTGCCTTGTACCCTTTTATCCCAGTGACGCTTATCTCTTTGTTAGAGCTGGAACAAGATACTCTCCCTCCCTCCCTCAGCCTCCTGGGCTTCCCTGAATTCTTTCAAGTCATGAATAAAATCCCACCTTTTATGGGAAGCCTTTCCCAGTCCCTCTTAATCATAGTTCCTTCCTTCTGTTCATTATTTCCTATTTATTTTGTTTATAGCTTGTTTGTGCACTGTTGTTTACACGTTGTCTTGAACATTAGACTCAGCTCCTCAAAGCTGAGGAGTGTCTTTTACCTTTCTTTGTATCCTCGACACTTAATGCAATGCCTGGAATGTTGTTGTTCAATCATGTCCAACTCTACTTGACCCCATGGACTTTTGTCCCTGGAGTTTTCTTGGCAAAGATACTGCAGTGGTTTACCATTTCCTTCTCTATTGTGTCCCCATTTTAAAGATGAGGAACTGAGGTGACAGGGGTTAAGTCTTGCCCGGGGTTACAAAGCTAGCAAGTGTCTGAGGCCTGATTTGAACTCAGGTTGTCCTGACTCAAGGCCTGGTACTTTATCCACTGTTCTATGCAGTCGGTGCTTAATAAATATGATCAACTAAGTTTATTAATATTAATCATATTTTAAGTGGTATTATAATATTTATGAACATGCCACCTGTCTTCTGCTAAATTGTAAAGAAATGAGGTGGGGTTTTATTTGTCTCTGCAGTACCACAGTGGATAGAGCAACGGGCCTGGTGTCAGGAAGACCTGAGTTCAAATCTGGCCTCTGACACTTGCTATCTGTGTGACCCTGGGCAAGTTACTTAATCCCTGTCACCTCAGTTCCTCATCTTTAAAATGGGGGCACATTGGAGAAGGAAATGGTAAACCTCTCTAGTATCTTTGTTCAAATCCAGACTCAGACACTTACTAACTGTGTGAGCCTGGGCAAGTCAACAAGTCACCTAACCCTGTTTGCCTCAGTTTCCTCCACTCATCTGGAAAAGGAAATGGCAAACCATTCGAGTATCTTTGCCAAGAAAACCCCAAATGGTATCACAAAGAGTCAGACATAACTTAAATGAAACAACTGAATGACGGCAACACAGTACCTAGCACTATGCACATAGTTGGCAATTAAAAAATGTATATATTTACAGGTGAATTAAAATTGAGTAAGGTATATGTACTTGTGCCCTAGGCTTTTGTCATGCTCTATTATAGAAATGTGGTTAAAAATTAAAGAGGTATAATCCATGTTCTCGACTAATCCCAGGAGGTGTGTGGAAGAAAGAGTATAAAACAACATTTCCCTGAGGCTGTGGGTGATTCAAATTTCTGGGATATAGGAAGACTCCTCACTTCAGCTGGTATGGTTTGTGATAAACTTGTAGGAAAAGAGGCAGAGATGGCTTACTATTGCCTCACTAGAGAATTTCTCCTTCAACGAGGGTGCCTTGTGATGCTGCCAAATGACCCCTCTTACATGATCTATGTGACTGCCTGGAGCTCACCTTTTCCCTTCACACTAACTTCAACAAGTTGCTCAGCCCACCCTGCCAACATCTGCTGAACACAGGAGTGCTCTCCTTCTGTTGCACATTTCAAATAGAACAGCAGCAGCTGGGGGTAAGCACATATGAAATAACCACAGTACTAATAGTGACATGTATGGCCATCCTCTGGTGAGCATTTCTGCCATGAGAATTCTTGGTAGGTTGGAGATGAGCACAAAGTTAGCTTTTTCTTAGTCCCCAGAGGCCCCTTGCTAACAGAGTAAACCTGGAAAATCCCCAGAGTTTCAAGTAACTCAGGTAGTTTTCTTTTATTTTTTTTTTTAATGGCAATTTTTATTTTTTTTTTTGTTTTCAACATTTACTTCCACAAGATTTTGAGTTCCAAATTTTCACCCAATCTCACCCCTCCCCCCACCCCAAGATGGCATTCATTCTAAATACCCCTTCCCCTAGTCTGCCTTCCCTTCTATCTCTCCCCCCCTTCTCTTATCCCCTTCCCCTTCAGTTTTCCTGTAGGGCAGGCTGGATTTCTGTACCCCATTTCCTGTATTTTTATTTCCCAGTTGCTTATGAAAACATTTTTTTTAAGCATGTGTTTTTAAAACTTTGGGTTCCAAATTTTCTCCCTTCCTCCCTCCCCACCCACCCTCATTGATAAGGCAAGCAACTAAGTATAGGTTATATATGTGCAGTTATGCAAAACACTTCCATAGCAGACACTCTGTGAAAAACTACCTCTCTCTCCCACCCACCCATTTATTCTATTCTTTCTTTTGACCCTGTCCCTCCTCAGAAGTATTTGCTTCTGATTACTCCCTGTCCCAATCTGCCCTCCTTTCTATCATTCCCCTACTCTCTTGTCCCCTTCCCCCCCATTTTCCTGTAGGGCAAGACAGATTTCCACACCCAATTGAGTGTGTATGTTATTCCCTCCTTAAGTCAAATCCTATGAGAATAAGATTCACTCATTCCCTCTCCCATTTCCCCCATTTCCCCTCCACTGTAAGAGCCTTTACTTTTCTGGGTTTTTTTTTTTTTGTGGGATAATTTACCCCATTCTAACTCTCCCTTTCTCCTTCTCCTAGTATATTCCTCTCTCACCCCTTAATTTTATTCTCCAGATATGACCCTTTCATTTTCAACTCACCCTGTGCCCTCTATCTATCTATCTATATCTACACACAATTTTTTCCCCTCCAACTACCCTAATACTGACAAAGGTCTCATGAGTTACAAATATCATCTTTCTATGCAGGAATGTAAACAGTTCAACCTTAATAAGTCTCTTATGATTTTCTCTTTCCTGTTTACCTTTTCATGTTCCACTCGAGTCTTGTATTGGAAAATCAGATTTTTCTATTCAACTCTGGTCTTTCCATCAAGAATGCTTGAAAGTCCTCTATTTCACTGAATACCATTTTTTCCCCTGCAGGATCATACTCAGTTTTGCTGGGCAGGTGATTCTTGGTTGTAATCCTGTCTCCTTTGCTCTCTGGAATATTATATTCCATGCCCTGTGGTCCCTTAATGTAGAAGCAGCTAAATCTTGTGTTATCCTGATTGTATTTCCACAAAACTTGAATTGTTTCTTTCTGGCTGCTTGTAATATTTTCTCCTTGACCTGGGAACTCTGGAATTTGGCTACAATATTTCTAGGAGTTTTCTTTTGGGGATCTCTCTCAGGAGGAGATCGGTAGATTCTTTCAATTTCTATTTTGCCCTCTGGTTCTAGAATATCAAGACAGTTTTCCTTGATCATTTCTTGAAAGATGATGTTTAGGCTCTTTTTTTGATCATGGCTTTCAGATAGTCCAATAATTTTTAAATTCTCTCTCCTGGATCTATTTTCCAGGTCAGTTGTTTTTCCAAGGAGATATTTCACATTGTTTTCTAATTTTTCATTCTTTGGATTTGTTTTACAGTGTCTTGATTTCTGATAAAGTCACTAGCTTCCAATTGCTCTATTCTAATGTTTAAGGAAGTATTTTCTTCAGTAATCTTTTTGATTTCCTTTTCCATTTGTCCAATTTTGCTTTTTAGGGCATTCTTCTCCTCATTGGCTTTTTGGACCTCTTTTGCCATTTGGGTTAAGCTATTTTTTAAGGTGTTATTTTCTTCAGTATTTTTTTGGGTCTCCTTTAGCAAGCTGTTGACTTGTTTTTCATGATTTTCTTGTATCACTCTCAGTTTTTCCTCTACTTCTCTTACTTGCTTCTCAAAATCCCCTTTGAGCTCTTCCAAGGCCTGGGACTGATTCATATTTTTCTTGGAGGCTTTGGATGTAGGAGCTTTGACTTTGTTGTCTTCTTCTGGTTGTATGTTTTGATCTTCTTTGTCACCAAAGTAAGATAATATAGTCTGACTCTTTTTTCACTGCTTACTCATGATCCTGGCCAATTACTTGAGTTATAAACTCTTTGTTAAGGTAAAAGTCTGCTTCCATTGTGAAGAGTGTACTGTCCCAAGCTTCGGGGGTTTGTGCAGCTATTTTCAGAGATCCTTCTAGGAACCTGAAAATTTTCAGTTCTTCCAAGGTGGTATGATAAGGGGTGAGGTGTTTCCTCTCCACCACCACAACAAGCTCCACCATGCCAGCACTCCTCCTCGCCCCAGGACCGCCCCTCAGAACTGTGACCCAGATCCAAGCACCAGTAAAGCAAGAGATTCCTGCCTCAGCACTGGCAAAGAGATCCCTGCAATCCCCCTCTGATCAGCCACTTGATTCCCCCTCAGTCTGTGGGTCAGAAGCTCAGGAAAAAGCCGCAGCCCTGGGCCATACTCGAGACTTGCAGCTGAGACCTAGCTCCTCTCGCACCGCAGCCACAGACTTTTTCCACTGACCTTCTAAGTTGTCTTTGGCATTCAGGGGTTGAAAAGTCTGGAAACTGCCACAGCTGCCCTCAATTCAGTCCTCTGAGGCCTGTTGCAGGTTCACTGGGGCCTGCATGCCCCATACCGCACTGAGCTCCTCTCCCAGCCTGGCGCGATATACCTTTCTGATCAACCATCCAAGCTGTCTTTGGCTGGAAATTTGCTTCACTCTGTCTTTTTGTGGGTTCTGCTGCTTTAGAAATTGCTTAGAGCCCTTTTTTTAGGTATTTGGAGGGCTTTGGGAGAGACCTCAAGACAGTCACTGCTTTCCCTCCACCATCTTGGCTCTGCCCCCCAACTCAGGTAGTTTTCAAGGGTGACAGTTCTTCTCAAGCCTCCTCAGTAAGTGAGAAGAGTCCAAGTGATCACCAGAGGCTCCCAGATGAAAGCCACATTGCCCTGAGATCTGGTTCTTACACCCACTCAGTTCTTCTAACTCAGCAGATCCATCATTGGTATCATTCTTATTCAAAAATGAGGCTTCAATTATCTAGCTTAGTAACAAGGGATCTCTGTATGCAGCTGGTGAAGGATACTGGCTCTTTCAAGAAAAGCATTCAAAACCTAGCACATTAACCAGTGAACTTACTAAGATGTGAAAGGAAGACCACAACTTAAGTGGCCATTAACAGTTATACTTGCTATATTTCTTTATACCCTTAAGTGGAAACTTGCAGGTTAAAATACAGATATAAAAGGTCCTTGCCTGCAAATAGGAAACTATTTCTTATCACCACCCCCAGTTTCTTTTTGTCTTTCCCCCTTTCTTTGGTATTTCTCTAAAACAAACTGGGTTTAATGTAGCTGCTATGAAAGACAGAATAGTGAAGTTGTTAGTTAACCTGTTATCACTGGAGAGTGGAATATTGTTCTTTGTTTTTCAGTCGTTTTCAGTAGTGTCTGACTCTTCATGACCCCATTTGGGGTTTTCTTGGCAAAGATACTGGAATGGTTTACCATTTCTTTCTCTAGCTCATTTTACAGATAAGGAAACTGGGGCAAATAAGGTTAAGTGACTTGACCAGGGTCACACAACTAGTAAGTATCTGAGGCCATATTTGAACTGAGAAGGGTAAGTATTGCTGACTCCAAGCCTAGCATTCTGTCCACTGTGCCATCATCTAACTGCCCTGAAGCAAGTAAGCTTGGTTCAAATACTATTGCTGGCAGTTGCCACCAGGGGTCACCAGGAGCAAGTCACTTAACTGCTTGGAGCCTCAGAGAACTCTTAGGGTACATGGTAAGTATTTAATCGATGCTTATTCATTCATAAGTTATAGGTGGGTTATATATTTAGGATCTGATTTTAATAAAAGAAAACTAGTTCAAATACTTTTCTGTGGAATGGCAGTTAATTTAAATTACAATTTTTAATGGATTAAAGCTACAAATTAATAAAGACTTCTGATTTTTACAATCTACACACAGGCAGAGTGAGAAAGTTTATGAACTTCTATCATGTCACTAGGGTACTAATTAAGTAAGCTATCATGGTATTAATCAAGGAAACACAGGAACCTACAAATGAGATATACTTCATCTTCAATGAACTTTGACTTTTTCTGAATACATGTTTCCTATATATAACATAGCACAGCATCTCCACACCTTAGGAGACTATGTTCCTGACTTACCTTGGCCCAAATATGTATCACTTGGTGCCCAACTTTCTGGTTATGACCCTCTCTGAACTTAGCTAACTTGGGCCTTGGGTAAAAGACCAAATAACACAAATATTACACCAAATTTTTCATTTTATTTCAAATTATAGATAAATGAAAGTCCAACTAATAATTTTCAGTGAAAGGTGAGGGAATCATGTCTTTCAACTTACCTTCAGTCTCGTTTTCAACCCAGGAATTGATTTTTGTCCTGATTTGGTCTGCAGTTTCCAAAAAATTAACAGATTGTGGCTCTGCACCAAAGTATTTTTTCATGTTTTCCAGGTATTCCTGGAAAATACAGGTGAAGCTAGCTTTCAGCATCTAAAGTCATCTATTCATTCATACAATACTTATTATTAAGAAACTACTTATGTCAGGCTATGCATTACATTCAAGCTATCAAAAATTAGATAAATGAACATTCTGCCTCTTGACCTCAAGAATTTATATTCCCCTTCAGGCTTAGAAAGTCACTTAACCAGCTAAGCACCATCATTAGTGTAGAAGGAAGGCAATCTACCCACCCATGTTTCTGTCCTCCATTCCACTGTCATTTTCTCTTTTATTTCAGACAATGACTATGTATAGATTTGAAAGGGGAAACTGTAGCACTTTTTTGGAGTGACCCCCATACAAGAGAACAAAATAGGAAATTTTACTTGGGTTCCTATAGCTACCATAGAAACCAAGGTGAGTTCTGTGGTTCTCTGGAATTTCCTTTGTAATAGAAGCATCAGCAAGCACCCAGGGGCTTCTTGGTATTTGGGTCTTTTAGTATAGTTTGAAATATAAGGTTCTCTCATGTGTTCCTTGGGTAGAGAAAGCACTTCTAGAGTATTAACAGTTGGAAGGGCACATGTTTTTGTTAAGATCCTATCTGCCAGGCACTGTAATAAGCTCTTTACAAATATTATCTCATTTGACCCTCAAGAGGACCCTGAAATATAGGCACTATTATTCCCATTTTGCAATAGAGGAAATTGGGGCAGACAGAGGTTAAGTGACTTGTCTAGTGCCACACAGCTAGCTTATGTTTTAAGTCAAATATGAACTCAGGTCTTCTTAACTCCAGGCCAAGCACTCTATTCTTTGCCCATCCTAGCTGCTATTAGGAGTTATCACCATCCAGGAACTCTCATCAATATGACATAGTAGAAGAAAGGAGAAATTCACTGCAGGCAAAACATTGGGCCTCACTTTAGTGACCTCACCTCCATCTGGAATTCATTTCAGAGGCAGGCATCACTGGGAGACTGACCTTAATGCCAACAACTTGTTGCTGATTCCTATTATTGATTTGTTTCACTTTAGTTCAATAAGATCATTGTACTTAGTGTATGGGTAACATGTAGGACACTGGATTTAAAGTCAGGAAGACCTGTGTTGCTTCTGACATTTATTAAATATGAGACCAGGACATAACCTCTCCCATCTGATTCTCAGGCAGATCTCTATGACTATGAGTTCTCTGTGGGTTTTGAGTCTTCATGGACCTGAAATCACAGGCCCAATACACTGATATACTTACACCACGAAAGGGGTAGGTTTTTTCCCCATATAACCTACTGGCAGCCTTTAGCAGGTAGGAATTGCTGGGCTTGTTGATTTCTGTAATGAGTGCCTGGAAGTCAGAATGTAAGCCTTCTGCCTTGCTTGGGCTAAGTTCCTTCAAAAGACAAGGAGTGTGTTAAAACTCTTAAAGAAAACAATTAGAACATTGCATTTTTATATACATCTGCAAGACTTAAGATAAATGATGTTTTCTGGTATGCTGTTCACAGATTGGATAGTGTTATCAGAAGAGAAGATGCTGAAAATATTTGAACTGGAAGAACAAGAATTTCCTTCTGACCTCTAGCTAGCTTAGTGCAGAGTTTTAGAAGTCGTTGCTGGTTATTTACAAATGTCCTTAAGCATAGACTCCCAAAGGCAAGGTGATAACAAGCTTAAGGGCAGGAGAAGTTGATGGAGGGGAAGGGAGAAAAAGATAACAGGCAAAGAAACAAGACTGAGGAAACCAAACTTGAGGATCCTGAAACAAATACTTCTGCAAGTTTGTAATTTTTTTGGCCTATTTTGCATGCCTGCTTAGGGAACTTACTAAATCTATGTAATAATAGTGACTATTCTAGTGAAGAGAATAAGAAATACCATCTTTCTTTTCTTCTCAAAGCATGGACTGGTTGTTTCGGCTCCTGTGACTTTGTTAAGTTGAAGAACCTGTAATTATAGTTGCAGATATAAAATGAGTGGAAGTTTTAAAAAACATAACTATTTTAAAAAGTATTTTAAAAGAATTACACAATACATCTAATTCATGCAATCTGATACTCTATAGTCATTTCTACAATTACCTGCCACTAATTAGCCACAATGATTGATGTATTATCCAAATGGTGTATTGGGTAGACAGTATGAGCTCTCAGTCAAGAATTCCTTATGATGGTCATAAAAATGCAAAAGGCATATTTAGTTATATCAAATCAGTTTTTAATTGGATGTGTTGTTTTTCTGATTTTGATCATTTCTAGTGCTTCATTTCAGGCAGGAGGAGATGCTGACTGCATTTTCAATTACCTTTCCAGTCAGCTACCTTGTTTATTGATTGACAGAGTTAAGTAGTCCTATAGATGAAGTTATTTTATTCTTCATCATTCACTTTCATTTATGGTTATTTTTAAAGTGAACATAAGACTTGGCTGTAAGTTCTGTCTACATATACAAAGCAACATCTCTGTCTTGTACATTTTTATGATAAAGTGCTATTTTTTTCTTTTTTGTTCTCATGATTGTCTCAGTTTGCCATCTCCATGTGGCCTAGTTGATGTTGCCTTAGTGTCTTCTGTCCCTATCTTGGTATTTCCTTTGCAAGTCAGCAGGAAGGATGTGGATGAGATGAGGGTCCCCAGACCTCATGCAAGTGAGTTAAAAGGAAATGATACGAAAGGAACCAATGTCCATCCTGAGACCAAAGTTAATTTAATCCCCCTATCCCTGAGCCAAGGCCAATGTAATGAAGATACACTGATGTGCATTCCCGAAACAGAAAGACCAAAAAGATGAAGAGGAGGTTTACATCAGATGTTATATTCTAGGTGGGAAAACAGTTTGCAAACTGAGCCCATTAGGATGTCCAACTAAAACTTTTAATAGAACATCAGTGCAACTTTCTGCTGATTCCTTATGTCAAGTGGGCCAGAATCACAATCCCAGCTAAACCTATGCCTATTACATAGGTCATTTTGACTTCATTAAGCAGTGGCTAACCATCTTTCCTTAATGTTCTCACTTACTGATAGTGGGTTAATGATAGTCAAATTCAGTATGTAGATAAAATTTAAATGTCATAGAAGGTAAACTTGAGTGATGTCCCTGTGAATAAATTACCAGGATGTAAATCCAATGTAATAAAGTTGGTCTAGATTCCCAGTAGGGTTGTCCACTTTCTTGGCCACAGGCACTGCCTTTCCAAGTCCCAAAGCTCTTCTCCAATCCACCACTGCTGATACAGGGGCAACTAAAGAAGTTTTTATAAATCTACCCTTTGTTTCATGTGGGTGGTGTGACTTTGGGCAAGTCACTTACTCCCTAACCTTAGTAATTAATTAATTAGCAATAGTTTATCTTTTCTTTATGGGGTATTATTGAAATGTTTTGTCAATCATTTTTTCTAGAAGTCAATGTTATAGGCACTTACTATGTGCACAGAACTGTGCATGGAACTAGGGATAAAAAGACAAAAGCAAAACAGTTCATGCCCTCAAGAAGCTTATATTTTATGAGAAGTTAATTGCATATCCAAAGCAAATTACATCTTTGATTTTTTTTAAAGCCATCAGTGAATGTTGCAACTTACTTGTTCCATTTGGGTTGCAGTATTACCTCTGGCACCCAAATAGACCATGACCAAAGCAGTAGAAATACTCCAGGGGGAAAAGAAGATGTTTTTATCTCCAGCTGACTCAGCTACCATTTTGCTAAACTCAAGAGCAAACTGATTGTTTGATGTTGTTAGAGAATCCATTGGAAAAACCTAAGAAAAATAACACATGAAAGAAATAGTCTGTAAATATTCCTTTCCATATCTTTAGCCAATTTTCCTTTTATAAAAAGACTTTTCATTTATTCCGTGTCAGAACCATAACTCTGATTCCTGGGGCAAAGCCATAGTTGTGCCAGGAGAGGGGATGGTTTGTTGCCTGGAAAATCTGGCCCCAGTCCCTGTAACTTGGTAATCATCATATCTCACCTCTGAACCCTTAGGAGGTGGAAAAGTTAGAGTAAAATGGCAAGTGGACGACATGGAATTGGAGGAAGACAGGGCCCAGGACAGGGACAAGAAGACCCTTGGAGGTGTCAGTGTGAAGACAGTGAAGGATCACGAGGTGAGGAAATGACAGGGTAGAGGATCACCAGTGGAGAATACATGCCTCCAGGATGTTGATACCTGGGACAAATTGCCAGTTACCTTACCCTAGTTAAAGAATTTTTTTTTTATCTTATAACTGCTAGATATACTTTAAAAAAAACTTCATCCTACATACAAAGATTAAAATATTTGCTAGTAAGACTCAAAAATACATATGCTCCTAGAATTAAACTGGCCTATATAGAAACCATCCAGGCCAGTGGAATCATTTAGAGATTAAAAAACCATAGCTCAGACATATTAAGTCACATGACTTAATTGTTAACTAGTTAATTGCAGTTAATTAGTTAACTGTAGAGTCAAATCTAGAACCAAGATCTCAACTTTCAGTTCTTTCCTATTCCAACTATATTTCATTAGCCTGCTACCATATATGAAAAATAGATGATGTGATCTCTGAACCTTAAATCTTTCCTTTGTTAGGAGCCACCAGTATTCAGAGTTCTGATCTGTGCAATATTCTTTCCTGCCCCTTGGCCTTTGCTTATGACTTCACCTCTGCCTAAGATGACCTTTCCTTCTTTCTATTTGCATCCTACACTTCCTTTAAGGTCCAATTCAAATCCCATCTCTTTTTTGATGCTTTCTATGACTAATCTAGTTGAACGTGGTTTTCCCACTGTTGAGTTCTTATCACCCTCTAATGTGTCAGTGTTATTGTTCTAACACACCATATGTTGTTTTTCTGTGAGTATGTCTTATCTCTCTAATTGGCCTGGAAGATCCCAGGGGACAGGAACCATTGCTTACCTCTGTATCTAGCGTATCTCCTCTCAGGGACAAAGTACTCAATATATTTGTGTTTATCACTTGGAGATTTAGATCTTGCCTCTTTCTTGATTTCAATTTGAATTATAGTACATACTAGTATAAAAGTTTCTCATACAGAAAAAAATAGGAAGGCAAATTATCAATGAATCTATAAACATTTATTAAGCACCTACTATATGGCAGGTACTGGGCTAAGCTCTGAGGATATAGAGGTAAAGGCAATCTCTGCCCTCAAGGAGCTTACAATCTTGACATTGCCATCACTCAAGTTTAGGGGAAGAATAGCTTGTATTTACACAACACTTTGTTGTTGTTATTCAGTTGTGTCCAACTCTTTGTGACCCTATTTGGGGTTTTCTTGGTAAACCTGGAGTGGTTTGTAATTTCTTTCTCCAGCTCATTTTATAGATGAGGAACTGAGGCAAATAGGGTTAAGTGACTTGCGCAGGGTCACACAGCTAGTAAGTGTCTGAGGTTAGATTTGAACTCAGGAAGATGAGTCTTACTGACTCCAGGCCCAGGACCACAGTTTACAAATACTATGAAGAAGGTGGAACAAGTAGGACTAGCTTTTTTCAGACGTGCAAAGTGAGGATCTGAGAGGACGACTGACTGACTTAAGGTCACAGAGCTACTCCATTCTCTCTCTTTAGAAAGGGAAAAAAAGAGGTTTATCTCTTTTCAACTCTACTATTCTCACTCTTTAGAAAGAAAAAAAAAGATTTCTCTTTTGCATGACTATAGATTTTGGATTTTCATTTGTCTTTCCAATAGTTTGTTCACCATATTGAACTTTCATTGAACTATACCTTGTAACCTTGGCATTTATAAAAATCAGATATCCATAGGGGCAGCTAGGTGGCACAGTGGATAGGAGCACTGGCTCTGGAGTCAGGAGGACCTGAGTTCAAATGCGGCCTCAGACACATAACACTTACTAGCTGTGTGACCCTGGGCAAGTCACTTAACCCCATTGCCTACCCCCCCAAAAAAATTAGCTATCCAATAAATAAATCAATTAGTAAATGTATCTCTCATAAGAGACTAGCTGCTTTGTATACAAAGAAACTTGGTTTGTGTCCACATGAGATTAATTCCATGGAAAAAAAGCAAATTCACAGATGTGATGACTATGAAAACATCCATTATAGCAGTGGTATCAAATTCAAATAGAAACAGGCACATTGACTTAGAAAACCACACATTTAACACTATCTGTGTTTTATTTTATTTTTATTTATTCTGTTAAACATTTCCTAATAATATCTTATCTGTTCTGGCCTTGGAGTTTTGTGGGTATGTGTAGCCTGCAAGCCATGTGTTTGAGACTTCTGCCCTATAGTGGAGGGCTTGGGTGCCCATTAAATAAGTTACTTTATGTTAGTCAATAATCCCTCTTCTCCCACCTCCTCCCAACCCCAGGGTACCTAGTGAGGATATGTCCTTGGATGATGGACTGGAGAGAAACTTCTTTGCAAACTTTATATTAGGACTCACAGTATACATTCATGTTACCTATCATTTGACTGAATTTGAGTCCTTTATAATTAAATGATTAAACCCTTAGCCCTTTGCTGACATGATTTTACTTACACAATTAAATTTCTTTTAGAAGTGAACAAGTGCAACAAAGCTAAACTTCTCTTGCTGCAGAATTCAGAATTAGTAACATAGCCCTCAGTGGGCAAATTACATCCTGATTGTGGTTTTATCCTGTTCAAGAAATTTATGAATTTCCTGGCTAATTTTTTTAACCTAATCAGCTTCTCCCTCTTGACAAAACTGCCACACAGCCTTTGTAAAAAAAAAAAAATTCAGTCTCTATATGGGGTTGGCTTCTTTATCATCACAAAAGTAACATACTCTTCTTTGCCTTGCTTGGAGATCACCTCTGGTCAGCTTTTATGGTTTCTTACTACTAGCTTTTATTATTTATTTTTTAACTATTTATTCACATTTGTCACCATTGTTATTAATTTATATTTGTTGTAGTTTATTTATATTTATCATTATTTATTCTTTTATGGTTTTTACTACCAGCTTTTATGGTTTATTTTTAATTATTTATTTATACTTATCAACATTGCTATTAATTTCTATTTATTATAATTTATACTTTTTGTGGTTTTTCACTACCAGCTTTTATGGTTTATTTAACAAGTTAACTTGCCTATGAGGCATAAATTCTAGTCTCTTGCATTAGACTATAAGCTTGTTTGAAATTGATGCTGATTTTGTGGCCACACCACTTACAAAGAGCACAGAAGCGGCCTTAGCAGTATCTCAGTATCTGGATCTACTAGAATTCTATCTTCTTGGTTGCTGTAGAGTTCTAGATTTGTTCTTAAATTATTCAAAGAAAGTATTGTCTGCAGTGCAACAGTTGATTTTTTAATGAAAATCAGTATGAGCTTATCTTCATCTTTGTTACCATAAATATAATCTTAATCACTAATTATTGGCAATGTGCAAGTAGATTGGGTTTCAGACCTTGGAGCCTCTAACACATAGCAGCTGTATAATCATTTGCAATTCACATCCCCTCTCCGTGTCCCAAGCAACTCTTCAACACTATAAATTAGGTGATTTGCCAATATAAATCAGTGAAAGGACGTTCCTAGGGAGATTGATGGGGGGGAGGGGAGTAAGCATTTATTTAGCACCTACTGACATATCAGGCGCTGTGCTCAGTGTTTTACAAATATTATCTCATTTGATCTTCACAACAACCCAGGGCAGTGAGAGGAAGGATAAATGCAATTATTGTCCCCATTTTTTTACATTTGAGGAAAATGAGGGCAGACAGAAGTTAAGTGACTGTCCTAAGGACACACAGTAAGTGTCTGAATCTGAACTCATGTCTTCTGACTTCAGGCTCAGCGTTTTATCCACTGTGCCACCAACTGTCTAACTGCCACTAGGACCTCCCTGCAAGATGTGGAAAACTTCTCAATACCCACTCAATTTTTAAAAAGTCATTTTTTTTAATTTAGTACCTAATACTACACAAAACAGACATGCAAAAGACACAGTTCCTGATTTCTAGGAGTTTGCATTCCCAAATTTTAAATTGATAGGATAACAGTCTAACATAATTAAACCATTTGAGCAAAAGGACTCTCCAGAGGGAAGGGAACTTTAATGTGCAAAGGTTCTTCAGCAAAGCATTCTAGACCTTTTCAGACAAGGATCTCTGGACGCAAGGCCTGGCTTGGTTTGGTTTTTTTTTTTTTCAAGGCCCATTGTAATGCCTGTATGTGCTAAAATATAATAACAACTTGTAGAAACTGCAGGCTGGCTAAACATAGAAGCTGATAAATAAGTCCAAGTCAGAGCAGGAAGCTTTACTGTCAATGATATGCGGGTCAGTGAAGAAAAAATACAAATGGGGATGGGGTGGGGGGAGGAGGAGAGATGAGTATCCTCTTCTCTGATTCCAGGACAAATGATACAAAAGAGCATTTTTTCAGCTCCATTTTCTTTTGTACCTATTACAAAAATATACTAGAAGAGAGATTATGATTTTAGTATCAAACCTCTCATTTAAATGCCGTAGAAGAATGTTGGAAACCAGTAGGTTGAGTGATGTTATTGTATGCTCCTTATTCCATAAGAGATCACATAGAAATGGAGAAAAGAAAAAATATCTTCTTAGGACTTTTCATTGCTTAGGATAATTCCACCAAAGTTCCTGTTGTGTACTAAGTCCAAATCAAAAGTAAGATTTAAAAAAAGGAATAAAATATTATTTGGCTATGGAACTAAATTAGGTCTTTGGAGAAAAGGAAATTAGATGTAGTGGAAACCATCATAGGACACCTAAGGTTCAGTCTATAAATGGAAACCAGTTCTTTACTAACACAACCTTAGATGCTTAATTAATGAAATAGCTAATTGTTTGATTAAGCTGGAGTCCAATTAAAACAGTTCAAGTGGTTTCTTTTGCAGATATAGATTGAAAGAACAACAGCAGAAACTGGACCTACTTTTTCATTCTGTTGATTCATGGACATGGATTGGAATTGATATTCCTGGAACCCCATTAAAGCTCCTGGGATTGCTGGGAGGGGAGGTGTTAATTCAATAACTATATTCCTGGGGTAGCAGAAAGAGTGATAATGGATTAAGGCTGATACTCCCACACTCTCCTGCCTGTTCTGTGATTCATAACATATGACTTCACATCGAATGACTGGGGTTAACAGAATGAAGCCTCAGGCCCCACATGGGGATCAACCATGACTTATTAAGGCCACATTCTTATCAATTAACCAAAGAATTCAAACTGCACATATAACCTTTGCTTCACTGATGAGTTTGGAGAGATTTTCTTTTTGCATGAATTAGCCTGAGAGGTAGCATTTTGGAATGGTGGGTAGAAGATTGGCCTTAAGATAGAAAGACCTGAGTTAACTGACCCCACAGGGTCACTGAATGACCCTGGACAAGTCAGGACCATAATGTACAAGGAAGGTGCTGGTATACATTGTTAGAGGAAAGCCTGTGTTTTAAACCAGCTTCAGATACTTAATGTGCAACCCCTGACAAATCACTTAACCTCTACCTGCCTCAATTTCCTCATATGTAAAACGGGGATAATAATAGCATCTATTTCTAGGATTGTGAGGATCACATAAGAATATATTTAAAGCATGTTGTAAACCTAAAAGTGCAGTAAAAATGCTGGCTATGATTATTTTTTTCTTTCCTTACCAGCAGTTCACTATTCCAATACAATTACAGACCCGATCCACTCCATTTCAGTCAAAAACGAACAATAATAATCCTGACAATTGTCCCAGCTCTCTCTTTTACTCTGCCTGTGCTTATTGAGCCAGGGGAAGCAAAAACAGAAGCAGACCCAACGCCCATACCCCAACAGGACTTTCCTCCTGTCCCGATAGTAAGTCATCAGAAAGGAAAAACTCTCTCTCTTAGCCCTTCTCCAAAGCAACCATTCTTTCTTTCTGCCTTCTAATCCATTTAACCTGAGGAGAATTCAAAAAAGTTACATTAACTAAGGTTGTTATTTCTATGATGTTTAAAGATCCTGGCTTCAAAGAAACCACTTCCAGCAAGAAGTCTTTCCATTGCTAATTTTCTAGAATTGGATGGTCTAATAACAAAGAAAAATTTAAACTTTAAAACATTTAAGAAATAGTAACATTACCTTATTTTTCTTTGAAGGAGCAGAATTGGCAATTCCGTGCTTTAGTAAGAGCCTGTGGCTGCAGTGTTAGGTAACCTACAACTGCCAAAAAGCACCAGCTTGGACCTCCTCTTCCTCCATGGCTACGCCCCCTTCATTCATTCCTGCACACTTCCACTCCTCTTTTCAGAGTCATCCTGGTGAGAAGGGGAGATGAAAAGATAACAGCGAGGTGGAGACCTGAGGGTTTTGCTTGACTTGGAAATGATCAAGATTTTCCATTTCGCAGTGCTTGTGCAGACCTGAGCTCTGGCTGATTGTAGCCCCTGGTTTTCTGGCTTAATCGGGTTCCTCATTTGCCAGGGGAGAGTATTTGTCATCCTTTATTTCTGAACAGACTTGTAGAAGTACTATTATGGGTCTTCAAGTTGTTGCTCGATTTAGGCATCTCTGATTGCAACACACGGGAGTGGCAGTGGAAACTGATCCCTGTAAGCCAAGACTGCATAGCGATGGCCTTTTTTTTTTTCACAGCTTTCAGGCATGCAAAAATAAAATCGGTCAGGTCTGTTTCAAATTGCAGCCACAAATCTGTGTTTTCACTCGCCTCAAACCTGGATGGCTGCTGTAGGATACTGAGAACTAATAGCTGATACTTAGATTGTGTTCTCAGGTGTTCAAAGTACTTTGTGTTATCTCATTTGTATTTCATACAAATGGATGCTGTGAACAAAACACATTCTGACAACAGAAGTCCAGACCACAGGAAGCAGAGAGCCAATTCTTCTCCATGCCCTCATTCATAAAATTGGACTAGAGGATTTACAACAGAATTCATAGACACAGCTATTGCTAAATGCAACCTTCCTAGTCTGTTCCATCCAAGATAAGAAATCTTAAACTTTTTGTTCTATATAAAAAGATAAGAAAGAAAATGAAAAGAAAATAGGGGTACAAGGAGAAAGCAATCTGCTCAGGTATAAAAATCTTCTATAGATTTCCCCAAAATTCTAGAATATAAGCTTCTTGAAAACAGGGACTGTCTTATTTTTCAGCACAGTGTTTTTCACATAGTGAGAGCTTAATAAATGCTTCATTCATTCATTCATTCATTCACTCATTCATCATCTCTGATTTTCCTCTTGACAGATACCTGTTATTCCTTCTGGGAAATCACTCCGGAAGGTGGCTTCTGATTTCTGTTAGCAAATATTTTTAACCCATAGCTTCTTCTGAATCTATTATCATCCATAAGAATTATATAGAGGCAGTAGAGAGAAAGATAATTCATTCCCACTAAGAGTAGTACATAAGAAGGTAACTCATGTGGGCTCTCTGTTTCTAAAATCAGAAAGTATAGTGGATAGTTGAGGCAGTTATCTGATAAAATGAGTTAGTTGTCATTTATAGACTTGGTGGGGGGCAGGGGGAGGAAGGGTTGCTGAATTATATAAGCAATTGCCTACACTTCCATATTTTTCTTTTTGTCTCATATTCATATTCACATGTTCTTTGCTGTCTTCCCCTCCATTTTGTAAACTCCTGCTCTTTTCTGTCCCTAGACCTTTTGGGCGGAATCCTAGGATACAACTCTCAGGCTTTCTTTGTTTAGAGTTCATGGATCAAAACTTAAACTAGGCTTTTTTGAACCTAAGGCAAATGCCACAAATGATGTCTAGGATAAGTTGGTGGAAAATGAGGGGAAGACAGGCCCTGGGACATCAGTTTAAGGCTGCTATTCACCCAAGGATAGTGGGAAAGGGGAAAGGAGGAATAGTTCACAGAAAACCATGGTGTGGTGACTTTCTATTTTAACAAATTAACTGTCTTAACTAAATGATAAGTTATGTTTCTACACCGCTGAAAGATTACAAGTGCTTTTGGTCACACCTTCTAAAATTGATGGCCAACTAAATTTAGCAACCTTTAGCAAAGTCCCTGTAACCATGCCCTGGTCACAGCTCTGTCTTAGATAAAAATAACTTCTACTTTTTACAGGTTATAAATTATTGAGCTGACTACTAAAAAAATACATGCTAACAGAATTATGTGAGTAGATATTTCTCTTTTCTACTATACAGATAAATCGATAGGTTTATCTATGTTTTTCATTTTTCAGTTCCAAATATTTTTAATGACTCCCCAAAGAAGAAGTAGGAAAAAGTAGATTTTTCCCCTAAATTGGTGGTTTTATCAGCACAGAGAGTTTCATGGTATATAAACTCTCTTTACTTTGGAAAGATCAGTAATTTATCAGTAACCTATGGTTTTAGTCAGGTGCCTGGGGCATCAAAAAATTAAATGGTTTGCCCTGGGTCCCTAACAATAATGATGATGATGATGGTAACAGTAACAGCTAGCATTTATATAATTTTAAAAATAATTAATCCATCTGAGATTCATTTTTACTCCATTCTGTCTATATTGTATGATTTGGGTTTTTCTATTTTATTTTTATTTTTAGTTCCAAATTCCCTCCATCCCTTCAGATCTTTCCCCACCCATTGATAAGATAGGAAATATGATAGCTGTTATACATATGAAGTCATACAAAACATACTTTCACATTAGCTATGTTTAAGAAAAAAAAAATAATGAGGGAGAGCCAGGATGGCAGAGAAAAGACTGAAAGTTGCCTGAGCTGCCCCTTCAAACAACTTTAAACAGTTCCCCTCAAATCAAGCCTCTAAATGAATCCTGGGGCAATAGAACCCACAAAAAGATTGGGTTAAACAATTTTCCAGCCCAAGTTAACTTAGAAGGACTGCAGGAAAGGTCTGTCTCACTTGGGTAAAAGGTGAGCACAGTGCAGTGCTGGTAGTGTTTGGGCAAGCCATCAGGAGGCTCTTAGCCACAGTACAGGTCAGCAACTGTGACCCTACAGTCCTGGCCCAGCAGGCCATTGGCACAGTAGGTCATCTATGAGGCCTCTAGGCCCAGCACATCAGGCAATGTGCCAGCCCTAGAACCTCTCGCACAAAAGACTGGGGTAGGCTGGGCCACCCTAGTGCCACGAGCAAGCCTCCAGCCCCAGAGGCTCTGGCACAGAAACCAGTAACCAGGCCTCCAGCCCTCTGCCTAAGAAGCATGGGACAGTGCCCACTGTACCCCAGGAGCAGAGCTCTAATTTAAAAGTGATGAAATAGGCTGGAAAGCAACAACAATGACAGCCCTGACTACAGAAGCTACCATGGCAACAGGGAAGATCAAAACACAAACTCAGAAGAGGACAGCGACATCAAAATACCTACATGTGAAATCTCAAAGAGGAATTTGAATTGGTCTCAAGCTCAAAAGTCCTCTTGGAAGAGCTCAAAAAAGATTTTTAAAAATCAAATAAGAAAGGTAGAAGAAAAATTGGGAAAAGAAATGAAAGTGATGCAAGAGAATCATGGAAAAAGAGTCAACAGCTTAGAAAAAGAAAACAACTCCTTAAAAAATAGAAATGGCCAAATGGAAAAGGAGGTACAAAAGCTAACTGAAGAAAATACTTCCTTAAAAACTAGAATTGGGCATGTGGAAGCTAATGACTCTATGAGACATCAAGAATCAATTAAACAAAATTAAAAGAATGAAAAAATAGAAGAAAATGTAAAATATTCTCTGGAAAAACAACTTACCTGGAAATAGATCCAGGAAAGATAAATTAAGAATTATTGGACTACCTGAAAGCTATGATTTAAAAAAAAAAAAAGCCTGGACAACATCTTTCAAGAATTTATCAAGGAAAATTGCCCTGATATCCTAGGATCAGAGGTGAAAATAGTAATGAAAAGAATCTAACAATCACCTCCTGAAAGATATCCCAAAATGAAAACTCCAAAGAATATTGTAGCCCAGGCCTACCCAACGTATGACCTAAAGGCTGCTTGTGGCCTGCCAAAGTGCCCCACAGGCGATATGTTGTGCAGGCTCGTTTTACATCCTCTACATTATTTGCTAGCCACCCAAAATCTTTTTGTGGGACAAAGGTTGTGCAGGCCTGTGGTAGCCAAATTCCAGAATTATCAGGTCAGGGAGAAAATACTGCAAGCAGATTCAAATATCAAGGAGCCACAGTCAGTATTGCACAGAGCTTAGCAGTTTCTACATTAAAGGATTGGAGGACTTGGAATATGATATTCTGGAGGGCAAAGAAGCTTGGATTACAACCAAGAATCAACTAACCAGCAAAATTGAGTGTAATCTTTCAGGAGAAATAATGTACATTCAATGAAACAGGAGATTTTCAAACTTTTCTGATGAAAAGACCAGAGCTGAATGGAAAATTTGATTTTCAAATACAAGACTCAAGAGAAGCATAAAAACATGAACAGGAAAGAAAAAAAAATGAGTTATCCAAGAAGGTTAAACTGTTTACATCCCTACATAGGAAGATGATACTTGTAACTCTTAAGAACTGTATCTCTATTAGGACAATTAGAAGGAGTATACATAGACAGAGGGTATAGATATAAGTTGACTTTGATGTGACAATATAAAAAAGTTAAAGGGTAAAAAATAGGATTGTATTGGTAGGAGAGGAAAGGGGGAGGCAAAATGGGGTAAATTATAACACATGAAGAGGTGCAAAAGACCTATTACAGTAGAGAGAAAGAAGGGAAGGGTTGAACATTGTTTGAACCTTACTCTCATTGGATTTGGCTCAAAAAGGGAATAACACATGCATTCAGTTGTGTATAGAAAACTATCTTATCCTATAGGGAAGTAGGAGTGGAAGGGGAAAACAAAAGGGGAGGGGCTGATAGAAGGGCAGATTGGGGAGGTGGTGGTCAGATGCAAAACACTGGTGAGGGGGAACAGAGAGAGAGAGGAAAAAAAAGTATAAACAAGGGGAAAATAAGATGGAGGGAAATATATAGTTAGTAATCATAACTGTGAATGTTAATCAGATGAGCTCTTCCATAAAACAGAAGCATATAGCAAAGTGGATTAAAAACCAGAATTCTAGAATAAGTTGTTTACAAGAAACACATCTGAAACACTGAGACACGCATGTAATAAAGGTAAAAGGCTGGAGCAGAATATATTATGCTTCAGCTGAAGTAAAAAAGCAGGAGTAGCAATTGTGATCTCAGACAAAACAAAAGCAAAAATAGATCTAATTAAGAGACAGGGAAGGAAACTACATCTTCCTAAAGGTACCATAGATAATGAAGTAATATCAAT